CAGGCAGCTGCTCCAAGCAAGCCTGCCAGGCCTCAGCGCCCCCCCCAGCCTCCCTCCTGGGCTGAGGAGCGGCTGTCCCGGCCGCTGCAGCTGGTGCCCTGCCCTGGTTGGACCAGGTGGCCCTGAAGCTCTCCGGGCGCCCTGAAGGGCCTTGCAAGTCCACTCCGGGAGCCTGCTACCGGCTCAGTTCCCTGGCTGGCTTCTGGGGGGCTCTTTTCCAACTTGAGGCGCAAAATCCACCTTCACGTGGCGGGTCAGCTGCCATCTGGTGCGGAACGAGAGGAGAAATGCTATCCCGGAGCAATGCCTGCACTCTGTGTCTCCAACTGTTGCTGTTTTTTTAAAGTTGTCAAAAGGTGCAAATGGCTTAAGCCTGGGCAAACACACATCTGGCTTTGCTCCATCCAACGCTACTCCCGTCTGTTTCCGGGGACAGCACCCCAGAAAAGCACCAGGGGTTCCTCCTCGTAACTCCGTCAGCTTGCAAGTGGGGGATTCTTGGAGCTCGAGTCACCTTGCAGAAGAGGTGAAAGGGCAGGGCGGGGAGGGAAGACATGGACGTCATTGAAATACCGCGAAGAAAATGGCCACTGAAGTACCCTTCCCCACCCGGTGCCCTCCAGACGCGTGGGATAACAACTTCCACGAAGCCTCAAGAGACTGTGGGAATTGTCGCCCAACGTTTCTGGAGGGCTGCAGGTTGGGGAATTCAGTGCTAAAAGAGCCGTTCCTGGAGAATTTTCCGTAGAATCCGAATTGAACTCCCAGCGCAACCGAGGTGGGGTTAATATTGCTCCGTTCGCTCCTCTTTCCCTCTGTCTGTTCTCAGCATCTTCTCTGTCTGTAGTGCACGTCTGAGGCAAAGAGCAGGAAGTCCTGTGGGGGGGCAGAAGGCAAAGGGTCAGCCACCGCGCTCTCTGGCGCAATCAGAAAAGCAGGATCCTGCGGCGATGGGGAGGCGAATTTGGGCCTCGCTGCCTCCGTTTGCAACCTCTCTGGTTTGCGGAGTTTCAAAATGTTCACGACAAAATTTGTATATATTCTGTGCGCCCTTCGCCAAACATGCACATCCTTCTTTGCAATGTTTTACAATGTCCCCTAAACTTATGCCTTTTATACATGTTGTATCTGTATTTTATAAAATTTTACATACCATTTTATGTATTTCATGGAGAAAATCTATCGATGTGGTCCCTAAGAATCCACACCGACTCGATGGCATATAATCATTCAATCATTCAATTTTATACTTTATTTTAATGAGTACATGCACTTTTTTACATTCTTTTCTTTACTGTATTTCCACAAAAAACACGCTGAACTGCCCTGCAATATTTTGAAAAGTGAGAGTCATAACAAAGTGGATTGAAAATGCAAAATTAGATGCATTCACTCCGAGATGTGAACCAAATGACCCTCTCTCCCTCGCCCATCCCTGCTGCCACATTTGGTTTCAGTGGGTACAAGGAGGCACAATAATCATACCGTCTGAGAAAGGATGCTGTTTGGTGGTACCAAATTTGAGTGCATTTTTTTTTTATTTATTTATGCAATTTCTATAGCCGCCCATCTCAGTCCAAGTGACTCTGGGTGGCGAACAATTTCAATCATTAAAACCATTAAAACTATTACAATTTATACATGTGGGCAGCCGAGAATTATCATGAACTTTACATAAAAATCAACAGTGCAGCCAGGTAACGGGGCCCTTAACACTTCCGGGACCCCTGGCTCGGGCACATAACCGGGTTTTTAAAGCCTTGCGGAAGGCCAGCCGGGTCGGGGCCACCCTGTGCTCCAAAAGAAGAATGTAATTCAATACAATTGAAGGATATAACTCAAGGACCCTGGTGGGCCCAGGCTCCCTAGGACGGTCTGCTCCAACGACCCAGCACTGATGCTGGACGGGACACACGGCCATCGGGGGGGCCTCCCTGCCCTTCTTTTGGCCCTCAACCCTCTGGGACCTCCTCTGGACGCCCTGCGGTTTCTCTGGGGCGATGGTGGCCGGTCACTCACCTGGTGAGTCTGGAGGACGGGGTCGGAGAGCTGCAGTTGATCCAGGAGCGGGAGGGGGAACCCCTCAGCCAGACGGGCTGCAAGAGAGAAGCCACGAGCGTCATGCAGGGAAGCAAAGCCTCGGAAGCACTCTGGGTTTGTAGGTGAGGTCTGATTTATCGCCTCCTTTCAGCATTCACGTTCGGTGGCTCAAAATCAGAACCTTTTCCAACTATTTTTTTTTTATTACAAGGCATAAGCTTTTCATGCGAGCTGGAAAAGTTAGGTTTGCAAACATTTTATTTGATTCTAGCAGGCCACCAAGACCCAGCTGGGTGTCGCGGTGGAGTCACCAGGCTAGAAACCGGGAGACCCTGAGTTCTAGTCCCGCCTGAGGCACGAAGTTGGTTGGGTGGCCTTGGGCCAGTCCCTCTCTCCCAGCCCTAGGAAGAAAGAAATGGCAAACCACTTTTGAAAAACCTTGCCAAGAAAACTGCAGGGACTTGTCCCGGAGTCAAGAGTGACTTAAAGGCACACACGCGCATACAAAGGTGGGAAGGCGAGGCCAGATTCCCTTTTCCAAACGTGCCCCCTGCCAGCTCCCTCCTCTGAGATGCAAACAGCCAGAGGTCTCCACAATATCCAAGGCAATGAAAGACACACCGTGTTGCTGTGATGCAAGGTCCTCCCCTTTCCTACAGGTGTGCGACGCGCATCTGGGTGCAATGCAGAGCGCTCGGGCCTTCGCTCCCTCCCAGATGTCCGGGAGGGCTGCATCTGCAGCAATGTGGCCCGAGGGCAGCGTTGGACTTCCGGACTCTCTTTCCCCATCTGGGAATGGGCACTTAGCAGCCTGCTTCACACAGCTGTGGGGATTGTGGTTATTTAAATATATCTCTCCTCCCAGTCAGACACTGTGGGAGGAGAGCCTTCTGTGACCCTCTGGATGAAATGTGTTAGTCGGAAACGCCGCTCTCAGACTCCTTCTGATGTTTTGCCACCCAGTTAAGGACTCTCAGCGGTTCACAGAGAGACGCATATAGCATAAAGTGTCCAAGGTAACATTCAGAATTTAAAAATAAGTTGGAAAACCACAACAAAAATAGCAATGAAGGGTGCCAGTCTCTGACTGCTTTAAAAAAGAGTTCTGTTTTAAGTTGTCGTGGAAGGCAGTTTAGGGAGGGGGTCATCTAATTTCAGTTGGGAGGCCGTTTCAAAGGGCCAGTGAGGTCACCAAGAAGCAGCGCCTCCCGGCCTCATCTCCGTCCCCTCCTGAAAGTGGGAAACCACAAGCTGCTTCTCCTGGATAAAGGCATAGGTTGGGCTGATCTTAAGCGGAACATGCGGTCTCGAAAGGTATAATCTGGCGCTCAGGCGTAGAGGGTTTTATAGGTTAAAAATCAGCCCTTCAAACTGCATCCAGAAGCTAGCTGGTTGCACAGATGTAATGTGCTTCCAGCATCAGGTGTTAGTGAGCGCATGGGCCGATGCATTCTGGACCATTTGCAGCTTCCGAGGGGGAAGTAATATCTTCTGACTTTACAAGCCCTTACCGTTCATCTGAGGAATTAGGATGCTGGCTGCAAGGAAGTTCATGAGGGATTCCATTATCTGTACCTGAGCATTGGGAGAGAAATCCAAAGTGAGAAACCCAAATAAACTTGATTGATTCTCCTCCCTCAATAGGATGTCCTACGTCAGCCTTGGCCGGTAGACAAAAGGCATCTTCCTTCTTAGCCAGTTCCCCATCCATAGCACTGGACCCACCAGAAGGAGTGAAACTGACAGGTCTTTGGGGAAGATCCTGGGGAGGCAGGATGACCCCAACGTGAACTGGGCTCCTGGCTGGAAACCCAAGGAGACTGGGAAGAAGGGGGGCCCCACGCAATTTCAGGGGAAAAAAATTCTTACCGAGAAGATCCCAATGTCTGAATGCTTTAAGGAGAATGTCAACCTACAGGAGGGGCAGACAGAGCAATGTTTTTAAAGCCTGATAAGAAATCAATACGGCAAGATAAATTGAGCCAAGTTAGTAGAATAAACCACTCTGGAATGAGTCAATTAAGTCCTTTGCAAGTGTGCTACAGCTCCAACTTCATACCCCATCATTTCCAGGACAAGGATGCCAACAGTAAGTCATGACCCCTTTGCAGAACACTATGTATTTCACAACAGTTGGCACCTCTACCCTTGCAAGCAGATGTTTCCATCCTGCATCAGCATTAGGGTCTGCTCTGCTGCCGCTCACCTGTCAAGTTTCAGTGTCCCAAAGATCCTAGTAGAGTTGACAGCAACTTTGGCTGAAACTGTGGTTGACTGCAATAGGAAAGAAGCAGATTGGAGCTGTTATGCACAAGCTTCTGTCCTCTTTTCAGATTGGGCCACATTTGGATATACCCTTGATTTTTTTAAAGATTAGTAATCTAAACGTGATAGGAACGGGTCGTGTTGATCTTCAAAAACAGGCGGGCTTGTTCACAATTCTGAAGGAAAAGTCTGAAATGGGAGCAGGCAGAAATGGGCATCCTCAAAACAAAGCATATTAAAAAAAAATTACAAATCTAGGTGGAGATGGAAGAGATGAGGGGGGCCAAAAGATGTTGTGAAATGTCTGAATTGTTGACCGTTGACAGCAACATGTAGGCTTAACTTACCACCCCAATCAGAAAGAGGGGAGCCAGGGAGGAATTAGGGAGAATCGCGAATGCCTGGATATCAACCAAAGGAGTCAGCGACAGGGTTTCAGGGGAGATGGTCAGAGACGGGGCCGAAGAAGGTGAGACCCGCAGCTTCATGAGCATGTTGGGGAACAGCTTCTTAATCTGGGAATGACAAAGAAAAAGTCACATTTCCATGCAGAGTCCTCTTGTGTGGATCGCCTCCGCCCTCTGGGAGACCTGGGGGTCCATGGTGGTTTTTCTCTGGGGTGAAAATTAAAGGGACATGGCTAAGCTCTTCTAAGAACAACCAATATGTTTTGTGGAATGGCCTCTCGCAAAATAACAGACAACCTTGTAGCCTTTGGAGGACAGACCGATGAACGTCCCTTTAGACATTCCTCCTCTCTCCTTTGGCCCAGTTGCTCAGGGCTCCAGGACCAATCCTCCAAACACTTGGCTTGATGCTCAAGACACCTGTGAGATCCTCTTGCACCTCAGCATGTAGCCTCAGTGCACAACTCGTTCACACAACACGTTTACCCAATTTACCATTCACATAACTTCCTGGGTCATCATAATATCGCTTAGGTTTCTCAGTGTCTTAGTGTGCTGTGCAAACCCATTAGGTAAGTTTACAGTTCAGTGTAGTCTGTGAACCAGAAAAATGGGTGACTTCAGTGTGTTGTGTGAATACAGCCATAGGGTTGGTCAGGAGTCATGAAAGAATATGGGAACATAAAGCCCATGCAGGGCTAATATTACAAAAGATGGTTTTTCAGGAAGACATTTGCGGACAAATAAGATCAGGCTGCCCCCAAACAGTGGTGCATCAGACTCATTAATTATTGCATTATTGTTTCTAATCTTCAGAGTCACTGGAAATGGACTCGCATATAAGTGACAGAAATAAATGAAACAGAGACCAAACCTTTTTTAAAATTATTATTCCATCACTTGGGGTGCTGCCTTTAATTTGTAATTCAATATTTGACTGCCTTGACTTTACCCACTTGTGGGCCATGGACTGGATATTAATGCAGGGTGGGATCCGTACATCTTCTCTGCACTAAAAAGCTTAAAATGGTGGTTTGACGCTTCTTAAGGCAACCACGCCCCTTCATGGATCACTGCCTTGTCGTGGCGAAGGGGCTTGCGTAACTCAGTGAAGCCATGAGCTATACCGTGCA